GGAGAGTTTACAAGGCTCTTCTAAATTTAGACAGGAGTAGGAGATAAACAGATTAGGGTATGGAGTTCTGGAAAATGGGAGAGCCTCTGGAGAAGTCCTGGAGGAGATGACTAAGGATCTGGAGAGCAGGAGGTCTTGAGGAGTGGGAACAAGGTTATTTCTGTGGTCATTGGTTCAATTCAATCCAGGCTGGTGTACACATTCTGTATATTCTCCATTTTAGGGTCTCTTCTAGTTTCTCCAACCTGAAAACAAATGGCAGTATTACTGCCTCTTAAACCAGGCTGATCTATGTGTTGATGGCTACAACTATGGTAAGTAGAGAAGACTAAGCGTCTTTGAGGCCAGGGGCTATCCTAAATGGAGCAATGAATGCACTGAAGAAGCATCAGAACTATATAAAATGATCACAACAACTCACATACAAGTCAACCAAATTCCAACATCCTGAATGACCCAAAAGACAGGTATTGCTAGATTCGGAGTACAATTCTCCAGGAAGGTCAATCCTGGAACATCCTATCAAAGTACAAAATGTTCCTAGATTTAGAGGCTTGCTAGCTCCAAGTCAACTGAAATTCCCTTTTGTACCAATCATTTCCCCTTCATAATTCCTCCAGGGCGGTGTTCTGAAGATAGGGAGTTATATTGATATTTTTCAAACTATGCTTTCCAGCTGCGTCATCCCAACAAAAATAACATCAGGCCAATTCTCACCCATGTTTACCGTCAAAGCCTGTTTAGAGTTAATCTAAATAAGAACAGATCAACAGCAGGGGCAATCTGGCGACTATTCTCAGCAGGGTTAAACCACACAAAAGGCTGCCACTGTGACATTTGTTTTCAGATACAGCTAAGTGCACCTCTCCTGAAACATGAGACCGAAGGAAGGAAAAAAAAAAAAAAAAATCACAGGGGTAGGGATTTCATGGCTTTCAATGAGACGGAGATGGAATGTGCACATTATTATAGACCTTGGTAGGAAAATGCATGCACCTTCTATTGCACAAATCTGGGATGTCACAAAATATTGTAGAAAGGCGTTTTGTTTTTTATTTCTGGAACTTTCCTGCATTTTATGCAGTAAACGCATCTCTAGCATGAGGCTCCCTATCATTTGAAAGGTACAGAACAAACAAGGCTGCTGTTAGAAAACTGGAGATGGATTACATAGCAACATTTTATGAGCTTGACACCATAGACAATTGAGTCCATAAACATGAGCCAGGTCCAACACCGTTGATACAGAAGAAGTCCAAGCAAAACCGTGAGAGACGACAGGAGCCAACTGATCCATAGAGTAGATTTGCAGCCAGGTTGGTTGCTATAGGTTACTGCAGTGGGCCTCTTGACTGATCAAAGCCAGACATGTACTAGTATAGGAGGACAACGTGACATTAAGGAACATGTGTGGCATCTTTAAGTCTGTACAATCTTCGTGGAGAGTTAGAGCTGAAAAAGAATGAATGCAGCTGCAGGACTGTATAAAGAACACGATATTCTGCACCTCACTGCATCTCACCAAATATCTGCAATGTCTGCCCGGGACCCAGAAACACACATATGGCTTACCATTGATGACCTCCTTAGAAAGGCTAGTATCGAAGTCACTGACCCGGAACAAGTATGCAACAAGTCAGAACTCAACGCTCACTCTTTTACAAAGCACTGTAGGGAAAACAGGATTATAAAAAAAACCCTACTTTGCTTATTTTTCCCCCCCTTACTGTGCACATCCTGCAGACCAATTGTATAAACTTCCTGTGGATGTGTGTGCACACCAGCAACACGCAATTGCTGCAGTGTGCTTTTGTGCAGCCATGGCCACTTGTAGTCCAACTCAGGAGTGCACAGAAAAGGATGACTACTCTGCAGTTGAAATGTGTAAGGGTTGTCACCAAAAGAAATTAAGAGCCTGTGGATACATCATGATGGTATGATTTAAAGCCCATCTCTGGGAAACCCCAAAACTCCCCCGTACTACAAGTATGAAATTTTTTCTAGGTATAAGGTTTCGAGTTTTACTTGCCCAATTGCCATTCCCCCAGCAGCTCACCTCAACTACCCTATGCTCTAGAATGTGGACTGATCCTTAGGTGTTCTCCAGTATAATACAAGGCTATGGGCCCTGCAGTGTAGTTGATGACATCAGCAGCCCTCCAACTGCTGGAGGGGAAGAGGTTACAGGTACCAGTCTTATAGTTTGGAGGAAACCTGCGGAAGCGGGAATCAGGCAAGTGCCAGACCCAAGAGATTATTTAACCCTTGCAGTGCAGGGGCAATCACACTGCAAGCCAAGTTTTGAGTCTCTCCTGGAGTTCAACTATATCTTAAAAGTAGGACACATTTATAAAAAGGATTCATTTATTTTTTACATCACTGGAACACATAAATCATCATATTTGGTTGAAGCGCTTGGATTTAGGTATACTTTTATCTGTGCCCTGGCAATTAGGCCAAAGGATCAGCACAACAGTCAGGCAACCAGCATTTTCAGAAGCAGATGTCAGCAATGTTAGCCTGCATATTATTATAATACATGAATGTGATGACATCCGCAGGGCTTAGACCGCTGGAGCCGGTGGAAGATGAGGCTGCAGGGACTGGGCTAGCAGCCAGGTGGGATCAAGGATCAGATAAGTGTGCACACACACACACACTTTTTTTTTCTTTCAATTTGTGCCCCTAGACCAAAATGAGCAGTTAACCTTTGCAGTGCAAGGTAATGGTAAACCCTGAAATTCCTCTTTAAACACAGGGTGTCAGGTCACACTTCCTGCTCACGTCACTGTTTATCAGTGTAGGTACACTGACTAGACAAGCAATAACTCTTGTGTACACATGGAAACAAATGGCTTTGTTTAGAAGCGGAAGATATTTGTGGCATTCTTCTTACAGATAGATGTAGATCTATAATTATAACCGTGGGAGCCATCAGCTTGGCTTGTAACAGATGAAATCTCCCTTACGTTCTGGCCAGTTTAAACCACATTCTGCCTACCCAGTACAAATTCTTTCTCACCAAAAGATAAGAGCACTATAGGAATGCCTGTAATCAATAAATAAGACTACATACATCGGTGTCAGTTTTTATACCCTCTATTGAACGTCACATGGTTAAAATTATGTTGGCGATCAGCGATCCATCATCTGGTACAGCGTCCGATTCCTTCCAAATCACAAACTATTTTTATTTTTCATCACCTCGTCTTTCTCCTATTCAGCGGCGATAACCTTTCAAACAGAAATCTTCCACCATGGAGGGGTTTTTTCCCCCCCAATCCTAAGTTTTAATTGCTTAAAAACAGCTCAGTTGGTGGCCACAATATTACAGCAAAGTATTGCTTAAATTTTGTTAAATTGGTCGACAAACTGGCCCATAATTGAGTTTACGTCCAGCGGTTTGAAAAGCATAACTAAGGCGTATGTCCAATGTAACTGACTGCTGAGTGTTTAAAACTTGAGCCTGAAAAGGGAAGAAAAAAAAAAAAAGACAAGCACTGAAGGGGTTATGGAAATGTGAAATCCAGCAGCAAGTCTTTGTGCTTCTGCTGCTTGGCTGGAGATGCTGGAAGGAGACAATGAACATTCTGTATGCAGAGCCCACACCATTGGATGTTTTTCCAGCCCAGAAGCCATGAGGTAATGACCCTGGAATGTGATGGGGGGGAAGGGGTGGGAGAGGGGATGAGAAGGA